TGCATTGTGAGACACGTCATCGCCTAACGTGTGATCACATGCGCTCCCCACCATTGGCCAATCAGAAGCCTCAGTTTGTTTAAGCAGATCCGCCAGTTTGACTATGACTAACCTTAGTACGTGTGCGCTTTTACAACAGTATACTTCCCAAATAAACGCGTTCCGTGCGATACGTCCGTTTCCTCTATAGCTGTGCTGTAGGTTATCTAGTTTTGGGAGTCTAGTCAGGCATAGGAGATTCTATCGTAGAGATTTCTGAGTCAATCAGGCTTTTATAGCGTAACAATCCGCTACAGTAGTTAAGACACTACCATCAGATTTGATACTCAAATTGACGTATTCATTGATACAATCTTGGGGACTCATAAAGAGATATCAGTTTAGCTAAGCTTTCGATGTCTTAAATAAGCTACAGCTCCTCATAATCAAGAAGGGCGAATACCACTCACACAGAAAGCACTTATTTAATTAATAAAATTGATTTGCTAGTGCATTTTTGGATAAAATTGAAATGATTAGCTAATTGGTTAACCAATAATTCACTGAAAGAGGGTTGAAACCAATAAGTGGCATCAAATTTATCTGCAAAATGTGTTTCGGAAATCGATTTGCAACTTATTACTCTTAGAGATATGAATACCATTTCACAATATATCGGCCATTAAAACTAGTTAATCGGCATGAGCGGATCAATAGATGGCAATTTTTGGGAACGAGTAGTTAATTACAGTTGCAATCTCTATAAATAGACCAGAAGCAAATTAAATTGAAATTACTTTCTAGTTGGTTGGCCTTCTTGAATACAAGGGTGGAGGATTGGATTTCTATTAGCTAACTAAGCACTACTGTGGTTAGATGGTTACTAATCTTGATTAAATACATGGTAATATATGCTGTATTTAAGTAATTTTCAGACGGTTTTGGCATGCAAATGCTTTGCCTCAAAGTATATTGGTCATAGGCCTAAAACTATTGCTCATTAACAAGCTGGACCACTTGGCATCTCACTTGAATGGCACATTTTTGTAAAAGTGGGCCACTTCAAAAAAAAAACCAAAAACTATGCTCTCCTCAACGTCAAGTTGGAGTAACTGGAGCATTTATCGCCCAAGAACTTGAAAGGAATGTAAAAAATAGGAATTTTTTCAAACGTGAATAATTAGGATATAAAATAAACAAAGTTGTGAACAAAGTGAGAAGTAGTACAATATCGAAGGTGAATGAATAGGGCTATTCAGAAAGTGTATTTTCATGAATTTGTTCGTCCTAAAATGAAAACAAACGATGTGGTATTAGAAGCAAGATCAAATAATGCAAAAATCAGTAAGAAAGATGGTCTACCTCGGGTGCTTCAGGGTCTTCGAAATTCTCTGTTGCTTCCTCTTCAGTTGCATTCGCAGTAGGTTGATTAAGGTCCTCATCTTCCTCCTCTTCTCCGTCCTCTACAAAGTCATTGTCACCTCCACTTAGAGATTCCAGACGTTGATTTCTTTGGCTTTTCTCCTCCTGCCTCCTTTGTTTTTCCTCTTCTATTTGATCAAAGAACTCCTGCTCAATCTTTTTTAGCAGTTCAGAAGGAGATAACTCTTCTTCTACTCCCTCATTTTCCTCTCCATCATCCAACTAAAGAGTAAACGTGCAATCGCTAAAGTTGGTAACAGACTACAAGAACTCATTTCAGCAAGTAAACTCACGTTCTCTTTGCCTTCTGCACCGGACCTTTCGACATTGTCCGGACCTTCTAGAGTTTTCTGATCCTCGTCGAGTTCTGCGGGTCCAGATTCAGCAAGAGCTTTTTGTTTGGCCTTCACTCGTAGTTCCTTGGCTCGTGTCTCCAGAATCTTCTCTCGATGAGACTCCCTTTCAAACATAGCAGCAACGGTGGCTTTCTCATTTTTGGACAGAGTTGTAAAACCGGCGGAGAGCTCGAGGATGGTGGTTACACCGGATTTGGATCCAACTGCCACTAAGCCACCCGCTTCGTTGACTCGTACGCAGTGGAGGGAGTCATCACTTACCTAATTTACAAATCCATAAATTATATTGAAGAGTCGGGGTGTGCGACAGACTTACCTCCTCGTGGTGCACCCTGGGCAACGTATACTCATTCAGCAAACAAGTCTATCAAACCGGCAGTTGACTTCTCAATTCAAACTACCATGACACGACTGTATGTGATATTTCACCACTTCCACAGTACTCACCTTACTCTTTCTCTACCTTTGGGTCTATCTCTTTTACATCCTTGAATCACTTTTCTATTCCCCCTCACGAATTTTTCTCACTTTGATGTTCCTCCCCTCTGTGAAGCCTGAAGTCAGCTAAAGGGCTAATGATAATTATCAAAACTCCTGCAATGCTGAGATCTATTATGTCAACACCTGATAGCTAGTATTATCAACAATAACTATCATAAATCCTGACATTTGAAATAAATAAATAAATATTGAGGAGTCTGGATTAAAGATAAAACTGATCAAGATTTTTGAACAGGGCTGTAGGAATCGAGATTTTCGTCCATGTTTACCGTGATTTAGATCGACTGGGATAAAACATGCTTTTAGGATCGTCTATAGTACTACATTTATTTAATAAACATGGCTATATACCGGTTATATAGTTTAACACACCTAATTTGCTTAAGGTATCTAAATACAACGATGAAATGTAAAAAACAGCATAATATAAGCAATTGACAAATCAAAAGATTTAGATTAGAATAAAGCTATGGAAATGTCGATTTAGAAGCAAGCCCAGCACATCTTTCGATAAACCTTCGAAAAATATCAAATTACATGTGATTAACCAAAGAAGAATTTGAAATATTCTAGTTCATAGTGAAGATGCAATCATACCTTGAATTTAAGAGTGGGTTCATGTTGTTTGAAAACAAAATCCCAGAGTTCCAAATTTCCGTCCAATCGAGTAATGAAGAATAGACCTGGACGAACGGGACTCCAACGGCCATCAGTCACAGCTGTGAAAAAAACCGAAGGGTAAATAGCGTTTTACTTAATTAGTTTAAGTAGGGCAGACATATCTGTATTCACCGGATTCATGGTAAGGTGTCCACATAATCGGATCATCTCTCATATCCTCAGCCCATATCCTCGCCGACCAATCACCCACGGAAAGGAAGAACTTGGGGAAGAAAGGATTCCTCTGTAGCGCATACACGGGTCCCTTGTGTCCAGGAAAAACTGCGGTCACTTTTTCTGCCACCGTTTTACCCTTGCGATTGCACAAGATGATCATTCCCTAAATTCCAAAATTGCATAATTTAGCAATTAAACTATATTTATTATATTATACTCTAAAGTAGACAAGAAAGAAGACCTGCTCTGTTCCAGCCATGAATTTTGTCGGGATTATGGATTCATATTCTAGGGCGTAAGCTCCAATGGAACAGTTGAAATCCTGATTCTTAGTGGGATCAAGATATAGAACTTCAGTGGGTTCAGACAACTTGCGAACATCCCACCAAAGAACCTGCCCATCGGTGCTGGTGGAGAAGAATTCTGTTCCAGTTTTGGATTGGATCCAGATCACTTGCCAAGCTGGATCGCGATGGCTTGTCTCAATTGGGGAGACATCTACAGGCTGGGAACCTTTTCTACGGTCCCATAGGCCTTGCGATTAGAAATATGGGATTTCAATTAGAGTCTAATTATTTACTCTATCGATTACTCTTAGTAATTAGATGAGAGAACATTATTTACAATTTTGGAAAGCAAATTGCTGCAAAATGAGCCCTGGACCAACCATTGAGACCTAAGGCTGTGAAACACACAACGCCACCAAAGCAGTATCCGTGACACAAATAACGACCTTGACGTGACCTTTTCAGGTTGTCCCACAGTCTCAAAATGCGTAATAAGGCATATCTTGGGGTGAAAGCAGTGGGCAATTCTCTCTTTCTCTCTTAGCCTATTTCTAATTTAAGAAACGCCATGAAACACAAACTGCGAATTTCAAAGCATTGTCAGGAAGAGAATGATACTACAACCATTCCTAGTCAACCCAGTGAAAGAATTCAAAACGGAGTTGTTCAAAAACTAAAGCACAGTATTTCAACATAGAACTTTCAAATCTCACTGATGAAATCAATATTTGCTCATGAGAAGATTCACAACTTCCTGCCAGAACCTACTAACGTAGAAACAAGAGCAAGAGAAAAACGTCAAATGCCACTGCAGCGGATCAACAAAACCAGTTCAAAATCAACCACCCAAAAGACCTTTCTGCCATTTCAACATGTCTAATTCATCAACAAATGGAAGAATATAAGTATCAATCTTCCAGAGACAGTCCTCATCAACTTGCAAACGCCTTCACAAACTCAAACGCCGTCCTCAAAATTTCAGACAAAACATGAAACCTTGAGGAAACTCAGCACTTGCGAATTACTTGCAATCAGTGATAGGCCAAAGTTCAGGGTCTAGCTGACGCCGAAAGGAGACTGTGGATGGATGTAAACTCCAATCCGAAAGTCAAACAGCAGGATCGGGTTTCGACTAGGGTTTGCAATTATCGAGCGCTTTTTTCCTACCTTTTAGTCACCTAGCAGTACTCTAGGAGGGGAGTACTTTGATGATCACAACAAGATTCATTTTTTTCATTTATTTGCTAGAAAGATTTCAACTTCACAGCTCAGGAATAAGAAGTGGACATTTTACCACTGATATTCCTCACTGTGTTAGATTTATACCACTGAAGAAAGGTTAGGAATAATAAGCATATGAAGTGTATATCGCTAACTTGACTGAACCAAGGAATCTCAAGTCCGCTCGAACATTCTGAGGAGCACAAGCGGATGTGAGTACAGAGAACACTTAGACAGGCAAGAATAATTGTCACTGCATGGTCAGCGTAACCAAAATTCTATTTTAATGACTTAGTTCTGCGTAAGTGGCACGAAATCGCAATACTGTTACTAAGGCGGCTTAGTAATAGTATTGGGAGCAATATCATCCAAAGGGATTTAGCCATATAGATAGCTGAGATTTCGTCAATGTATGTAGCATCCTCCGCAAACATTAAAGTCGATTGATTCAAACATTTACACTTTAATACTACTAGGTGATTATCTAAAAATCAACAGATTAGGTGCTTTATACCAAACTATTACAAAAAGACCTGTAACCAAATGGAATTCGAAATTGCCTTAGATTTTAGTCTTTTAACAGCACTTCTTACATAATTGACCGTTGAGACAACCTCCGATAAGCGAATGAGCATCCTTCGGATTAAACTCAACACACACCAAAGCTGATGGAGGACTCAAAACAAGGTCAGGTTTGCTTGGATTTGCAAAATCCCAAATGTAAGAATCGAGGGATACGTCTTGTGAATTCGATAAAAATCCTGTATTGCTATAAGCGACAGCAATTTTTGTTGGAGATTCCGGAAACCAACACACATAGCTTGCTGTTCGTTTTATATCGTTCATATCACTAGACGTCATTGGAGTTAATTGATTTATATAATTTATACCATACCGAAAAACATTCACAATTTTAGCCGAAGGTGGTTCCTCGGAAGCATTATATTCAATATCGTTGAAATAGTCTTCGTAGATATTTAAGGCGTTATTTTGCTTTATACAATGCTCAACAGACTAGTCACTAGATATTATGCTTCAATTATCTTACGTTAGCCAACGAATGCAATATTGTTGTATATTGTTCGTCCTTTTCGAGCTTTTTTCTATATCGCAGGACTTGTTCGGGTTCATTGTAATTGACATCTTTCGGCCAACCACCTTCAGTGTGATTTATTCCTCTAACGTCCATAGAAAGACTTTCTGTATTAACCTCATGCTCTGACATTTCATTTGTATTCTGAATAGCACAAGAAACTGGGTTCCGTAATGTAAACTTTTCGATTAACTCTTGGTCGGGAAGTATTTCAGCATTAATTTCGGCAGCTCGATCTGTAAAATTGCATTGCCTTCCGAATTCAGAACGTTTTCGAGTGTAAACATATTTTATGTTCATGGTTTATTTGCCTTAATTAAAAAAGAGCAAAAATAAACGGAAAAAATTCAATTTAAAAATCTATTACATATATATTAATTTCAGTGAGATAAAGGAAAGAAGTTTATACCTCTATTCTGGTTATTTATGTGTTCAAATAGCCGGTACAAATCACTATGCACATTAGAGAGATTAAAACTTCCAAGGTCATAGATTAAAATCCACGAGATATATTTCAACTTCTATTGAAATGTTACACTTTTAAAATGTACCGAATTCTGCTAAAATAAAACAAATCCCATAAATTCTCAAATATAATTATATCATAGATAAATGCTAAGGGCGGCTCTTCGTTCCCCAAGACTAGTTGCTCTAAACAACTCTCTGGCGAAAAAAACCACAATCACCAAGGACTTTATAAAGCTGAAAATATGTATTAGATATACAAATAGAAGAGAAAAAGAAATTCATGCGAACTAGTGCGTGCAAAATAGAGTAAAATATCCTTTTGGGATGATATCCTCACATCAGCATGTGACGGTACTATGAAATTTCGCATTGGTTTCTGAAACTATAGGAAAATGAATTACGCCAAAATAACAGTTCAGCTTTAACATACTCAAACAGCCGAAGTTGATTTCTTAAAAGCTTGGGCACGGCCAATCTCTTTACAATCCGGTCTACTTCGGATAAAATATCAAATTCATTGAGAATGCCTGAAAGAAAATAAGGAAAATTCATATTCGTCTCGATAAAATAAACAATCAGAAAAAGTGTAGCAATATCAAACCTGCGATACAAAGCTAACAGCATGCACTAAAATACTGCTAATGAAAACTTACTCCCATTATTCGATTGCACCAAATTTGCGAGATGTTGAAGAATCTCATACCGACAGAGAGTCTTCAATTGCAGCACACCTAAAAACCGAATGTTGACCAATTGAATGGATACACTTGAGATTACAAATAAATAACTCATAAGTGTAATGCTAGGGTGCTAGGTTTTTGAAAAGTGTTTCTTGAAACAGATTCAGTACCTTTGAATATGCGAAGATAACCCACTTCCCGTGCATAACAGCGTCAGGCAGCCACTTTAAAGCATTTCTTATTTAGTAGATGTAAATATTGCTTTGTACGTTATGGAACCGCATTGAATTCTCAAATGATTTTGACGAAAAGCAAAAAAAACTGGGTAAACTATCGACAAACCCCTTTTTAACTTAGGATTTGCGCTTTATAGTACTTAAAAACACAGTACATCGTATATACAACTCAACCGCAAATCAACATTAGAGAAGCATCAAACCCTAAATTATATAACGTAGGTTCTATTAGGTTGGCAACTAAGTCATTGCCGATTTCAAATAAGAAGGCAAATTCGGAATTTTTGTTTAAAAATATAACTTTATTCAATTAGATATTGGTCGTTCTTGTCGATGACCTTTTTCCATCGTTCTGGCAGAGTAAAAATTCCCCGTTCGCAAAATGTCTGGTCTTTGCTATTAAAAAACTGAATTAGGTGTGATCAGACATCATCCGCGTTGTTACAAATTTCACCATTTAAAGAGTTTTGCATGGAACGAAACAAATGGTAATCCGAAGGCGCAAGGTCAGGGCTATATGGTGGGTGTGACAAAACATCCCAACCCAGTTCCAATAATTTTTGCCGAGTAACCAAAGATGTGTGGGGCCTTGCGTTATCATGATGGAAAACAACACCCTTCCGCCGATTTGATAATGCCGGCCACTTATCTTCAATTGCATCCTTCAGTTTTTCGAGTTCTTCAACATACACATTTGAATTTATCGTTTGGTTCTGCGGCATGAGTTCAAAATACAAAATTCCTTTGTGATCCCACCAGACTGAAAGCATAATCTTTTTTGGTGAATCTCTGCTTTTGATACTGTTTGGGCTGGTTGATCTTGCTTCACCCATGATCTCTTGCGAGTAACATTGTTATAAACTATCCACTTTTCGTCGCCAGTAACTAGGTTCTTCAGAAATGGATCATTCTCATTGCGTTTCAGTAGCGGCGAATCACAGATGCTAATCCGTTGCGTCAAATGAATTTCCTTTAACTGCTGGTGAGGGATCCATAAATCAAGTTTCTTGACATAACCAAGAGTTTTTAATTTTTTTTTCAATGCATGTATGCGACACATTGAGCTTCTCTGTAATATCTCGTGTTGTGCTGTGACGATTTGAATCGATAATGGCCTTGATATGGGTTTCATCCACTTCGACAGGGCGGCCAGATCGTTGTGAATTTTCCAGTGAAAAATCACCAGAACGAAATCTTTCAAACCAATTTCGACACTGCCTTTCTTTTAAGGCTTCATCTCCATATACGGCACATAACTTCTTTTGTGCTTGCGATGCGTTCTTGCCTTTTCGGAAGTAATACAATAAAATGTGTCGGAAGTGTACGTCCTGTTCTTTCATTTTTAAATTGGGATAAAAACAAAACTAAAAAACTAAACAAAAAAATTTTTTTTCTAATTAACCTAGAAGCCCATACAGTAAGAAAAAAATATAGGTTAGATGCTCTGGCCACGTTAACAAAACAAAAGAAAGTATAGAATGAATCCGTCAACAAAAACGGCAATGACTTAGTTGTCAACCCAATAAGTGCCAGTGAACTTCACTTACCGGGTTTCAGAAAGCCGATAAATTGCATATCAACCTGAGCATAGCCCCAAGCAGTAGATATAAAAGGGGTTATGGTAATGGAAGATGCAGAGGAATGACCAAGCCAAATCTCTCTTCGAAGAGCTAGAGCTGCATTCGGTGGAAGATCAACAAAATGATAGGTGAGAGAGGCTTCCAACAAACTATGGCCTTTCCATAGCACCGTCAAAGTCATCGTAAAATCTGCTGCGACTACTTAAGTCAGAAAATTAGACAGTCACTTAGTTACGAGACTCATTATTGCTAAGAGCGCTAAATCGATTCGGCGAAACCGAGGCGAAATCCCAATACAGGAGTCCATCAACAGGAGAATCAGGAGTATTGGGGTGAATTTTTATGCCAACGCAGGCACATGTCCCTCGGCTAACAACGGGCCAGTGAAATTTCCAAGCTGCAGAACGAATAGGGGAAGAAGTATTCATCGGTAGACTAATAGAAGGCACTTGGCCATCAAGGTCAACATTTATTTGTGGAAGGCCGCGACCCATTTGTAATTCAACCTAAGGCATACATATTGTTCATGAGTAACATACAGCAAAGGGATTAGTGTCAGGAATGCGAAGTAATCGATAAGATAGACGAGGGGATTTACGATATTGTGGAGGTTGATTCTCATCCCAAGTAGGAAGATCAGGAGCTAAAACAACGTGCCTATCATGTCCGTCGAGAATAGCAAATGATGCAAGATCGCGTTTTTCAAGGCAAGTATGCATATTGGAAACAATCACCCTTTGCGAACTTACATAAACATAATTTTGCATTTATAAATTAAAAATAAGCGAGTCTTACCAATAACTAAGTTGTTTTAGAAATTTTGAGAGGCTCACAGCCCATCGAGTTTGTTGACAGGCGACATTTCGAGGTAATTCAAATGATCACTAGGCCAGTTCACTAGTCACGTAGATAAAATGATTTTATCATGCAGGCATAAACTTTCAATGTCGCATGTGTTAAATTATTTTATAGTTGGTATTTAAAATATCTGTCCCTAAAAGGTGTTCAATTATGTCCTTGCAGAATGCAATGTTAAAAAAGACATCAATAAACTGTCTTCTTAAAATTTATTTAATGCACATGCTTATAACATAAGAGCTCTCTCATTAAAGAACATCGTCTACATGCAAGATTTTTTCCCATCACTATTTCGTTTAATCCAAATCCATTCTTCCGACTTTATTGACGTAACAATTATAAATAGTGCTCTATGTAAATAGACCAAGCAAACTCAAACGTGTAAAAGTGTTAACTTGGTTGAATGAATCGCTTAAGGTTGTGGTGTTGTTGGGTTGTATTTGTAACTATTGTAATTTCTTTGGGAAGCTATGAGTTTGTTTTGGGTATCTTCAGAAAAGAAGTTATAATAACGTATATATTCAAAACACTTTCTAAATATCAAAACCAATTAAAATAACTATCAACATCAAAATTATTTTTCCAGATTTATTGTAAAATAAGAATATGTTATGTTTCCATTTTCCAAATTAACCTATATTTTGCTATTTCTACTTTGAACTGTCTTTAAAATATTGATCTTACCACTATTGTTTGTTCTGCATGTAATTTTTGAAATGTGTTTGCAACATACTTATTCTTTCAGTATTGATCCATCATATACTTTATAGTTTGCCTCTAGTAAATAAATTAATTCGATACGAGGGTTAAAAGTAAATTAAGAGAAGCTCTTCAAATGAACTTATATTCAGCACAGAAAAGAAGAGGGAGACTTAGTTATAAATGGTTGTACGCATGATTGAAAAAATAGAAAGATAGTGAGAAAGCCAGGAAATCGGTTAATACTTAATTTGGAGATACTATAAAGTTTGAAATTCAATTGCACATGATATTTGACTAGCATATTTATTTATGTGATGAGAAATCGATTTGATGGGAAGAATTTTTAGTTAACAAATTGATGATTATTGTTAGCTTTATGATCACGTCATAATGTAGATGCTAATTTCCTTAAAAGATAGGAAGGCAGCAGAATAAAAAAGAATTTTATAATTGTAGTATATAAAACGGCAGTTAACCCCATATTTTGGATATGTGGTGAAAACAAAACATTTAATCTACTCAACATTCACTTTGAAAAATGATAATAAATGCAAAGCGGTAAACTTCTTGTAGACAATTTCTTGTTTTCCTCAAAACCATTCGCTAGAATTCGGCAAATACTGCCTTAATTAAATGATTTCAAAGGGAAGGGTAGGTGGAATTTTTGCTTTTAATTCTTAAAACTTTTTCCTAATATTTTTATCCTTCAGTATATGTGAACGTAATTAGAAACCCAATCACGTCAAGTGATCTAGCAAATGTAAACCGAACAAGATTTGTAATGTAAAATTCCGTATCGAAAATATTCATGCGACCCATTTCTTTTGTTACATTATGGTGTTAGACCAATTACTCTCAAATCAATAAACCCATTTTCTTGCAATTCACGAAACAGTTTCATTAACCTCAAATAGAAGCTTTTTTCTCTTAGAAAACTAATTTTGTATGATTTAGAATGTAAACTGTGGTTTCTTGAGAAGAAAATGTTTAGCCACATTTGCCAGCCAAATGTGTTGATAATTGAGTAATGGTTTATATACAAGAATATCCCAGTAAATTTTCGCCCAGTCTTGATATTCAATTGATCTTTTGATGGTTAAAGTTCGTATACGCAGAAACTGTTTGGGACATTTCCATTTTTAATCACAGCCGTTTAGTGGGAAAATCCAATTCAAAGATGTCATTAAAATTTTTTATAAAACAAATAAAGCCAGATGATTATGTATGTTTTGGATGAAATTTACCAATTGCCTCTGATTTTTGATCTGCAATGGCTCTTATTGTTGAAAATATTTCTTACTTTCGAAGCAATTAAAGATTTTAAAGTTCTTTCATCATTTTTAATTTTATGATTATGTTTAGACAATATTATGAGTAATTTTACTACAATAATTAAAATAATTTTAACTTACAATCTCGAAAATTTTGCTCATAGCCTGGTTGGATTTTCGTCTGCTTAGGGTTATCAACTACACTCTTAACCCGAGTTAGCAGTCATGCCTAATTTCGTCTATAATTATTTTAATTCTAAGGATAATGAGCATCCTTTCTATCGTATAAAAATGGCCACATTCACTGGATATTTCATTGGTATTTTAGTGTCTACTTCATAATTTCTATTTTCAGGCGCGTTTAATGCTAGCGTTGTGTTCTTGCCTGCACTTCTCTCTGGTCGAAGCGTTTACACTAGCGGTATTAAGGCCATTCGTTACGTCTCTCTTGGCTGTAATTTCTCTATTTGATTTTAAGTAATTGTATTAGTGGGTGCCGGAGCTCTGCATGCAACTGCCAGTTATGCTACCGCAAAAGCTCTAAATGCTGATCACAGTGTTTTCGCACATGCAGTGGGTGGAGCTGCTGCGGGGTATCTTGTTCGCTTTAAGGGTAAATGTTTTGCCTTTATCTCTTAATTATTTTAGGGTCAGAAAGCATGACCTTATTTTTTTTGTCACTTTAGCTCCTCTTGCACCTCGTATGAATATGATACTTCTTTTTGCCCTTTCCTCTCTTCTGATTAAGCAAATCGAACTTATCCGGCCAGAATTCGCTGATAAGAATATCGGACATTGCATCGGGCCCGTTCCGAATGCTTACATTTCCCTAAACCATAGATATATGAATAAGAATTGGCGTAAGGAAGAGGAAGACCTGGAGAAATTTGTGTAGACTTGAAAATATCGTTGGTTTCTGACCAAATGTAATAACTTAGTAGGCGAATAAAGTTGCTATCTACCCATTCTGCTTTTGCTTTTGCTTATTATGAGAACGTCGCTTGATGGAAATTAATTTATTTTGATGAAATCTAGATTATGAAGTTGGGATGAGCCAAGAGGTCGTTCATAACCTTGTACGAGTGTCAGTGGGTCATCCTCGAATATGTTGTGTGTGTGAAGATTATATTGTCACTCCTCGATGTACAGCCAGACAATGCATCACTTGTGAATGTGTATTACACGCCTCATGTTTCGTCAAGGCAGAAAAATGCGAGTACTCAAATCGGAGTTCCACTAAAACGGACACGTCAGTCGCCATTTCTTTATCAGATCAGGTTAGAACCTTGTTTTTTTTAAATATCAAACTGTATTGCCTAAGTTAATTGATTATCTCAAATGAAGAATAATCGGATTAACGAATGGATTATTTCGTACATTATATTGCCCACTCCTTTGTGTTGGCAATCTCAAATCAAATCTTACTACGCCTTGCAAATCTATACAATTTCTACTTTCTCTTTATTAAAAACACGAAATTTTGAACGCCACACAGCTTTGCACAATCGGAAACGCTTTTATAGGCATAAATCGAACTCAAAACTTAGGAGATTTTTAAAATGGTTAGTTGTAACAAAGAAAAATGAAAAATTCTTTCAAACTTCAATCTTATTTATTTATTTCAAATGGCAGGTGTTTCGATCGTTATCATTAGCCCTTTAGCTGACTTCGGGCTTCACAGAGGTCATCATTAGCCATTTAGCTGATTTCGGGCTTCACAGAGGGATAGAAACATCAAAGTGAGAAAAATTCGAGAGGGAGAACAGATAGAGAAACAGATAAAATGAGTACTGTGGAAGTTGTCTAACATGATATGAAGTCGTGTCATGGTAATTCAAAGTCAGAAGTCAACTGGTGATTTATAGAGTTTATTGCCACATGAGCATACATTGTTCAGGGTGCACAAAATGGAAGCAAGTCTATCGTCCACCCCATTTGCTGAAATATACGTTCTAGTATTGCGCAAAGCAATAAATTTCATTTGCTCATGCGCAGTGGACAATGTATGCTTCTATCACGTTAAAGTGACTGAAGGTAGAATGAAACTATCTATGCAGAGATCCTGCAGGATGTTAACTTAAGTGCATAATTCTGTGGATTGGTAAATGATCTAATATATTTCGTTCAACATTTTCATGCCTAGCCCCTCCCAAATTGGTCAGTGTATCAGGTGGTTCAATGGTTAGTGGTCGTTGGGATTTCTCGATACACGACCCTCTTCAAGAAATATAAGATCAGTGGTGAGGAATTGCCCAAGCTCCTGAAACCGCTTAGTCCCCTTGATGACATCAGTGACCCATTCGCACGATGCACTCTGAAACGAGCAATAATGGTGAGAACATATTTACTTAATTTATTTAAGTAGGCTATATATATTCTATAAAAGGTCCATTTTTATATATATCCAGACTTTGATCGGGGAATTGCCTTCCCCAGCTGATCGGACATTTGCCTCTTCTTCTTCCATCTCCTCTTCAAAGTCACCACACAGTGAACTGAAGTTGCAAAACTTCACCTTCGAATTGGCTTGTTGTGTGTGTGGTCTACCGCTTTTAGGTTAGTTGGAATCCTATTTTGGGAAAAAATGCTAGATCGATGCTATCTTTCCAGCAATTGTCTTAATGCTTGACTTTTGTTCTGATATTAAAAGTATTAGTTTTGTTTAATTGAATTATTTTCTCTGAGTTCCTATTATTGCTTTTTTTGTCTATATTAAAATTATGTTAAATTATCATACGTGAACCAATGCTCATGACGTTCCTAAAGTGATTTTTTTTACGGCTGCTCTTTGCTGCGTCAATGAATATAAAATTATTATTCAAATGCAATCTAGTTAAAAAACCAATGTTGAGGCCGTATCTGTGTTGTGATTTAAACAAATTCAGATAATTCAATTTTTATGCTAGTATGGTTTAAATATTCACACACACACACACACACACACACACACACAC